TTTGAGAATGGATAATCCATCTTTTTTTTCTTCTAATCTTTTAACTTTTATCTTTTTCTTCAGAGGACCATGGACCTGATATATGATAAAATGAATTGGATTGGTTGTTTACTAGCATTTATAGAATTGTTACTGAACATCCATTAACAAAGGGATCCCAGTGTGACAGTATATGAGCTCTGTGAAAACATGCTATAGCACAACTGTTTAATCACGCCACAGTGCAGCACTTCCCTGCATTGATGTGCGTATTTTTGTGAACCGATTAGGATACATGAAGTTTATGCCTTTGCATGTATGTGTCTCTTGAGGTGGGCACAGAATGGCCCCTCGGGAGAGCATTACGAATTGCTGCTTACATAACCTTAAGTTACCCATGACAACACGAATGGATAGGGGCGGAGTGGGGTAGGAGCTAGCAAGATATAAAGAGAAGGGAGAGGAAAAGATAAATAAAGACCAAGATAAGAGACAGTGAGGGAAGTGAGAAATTCCACCTTAGAAAGCTTTTTCCTGTCAACGGGAAATATGTTAGGATGATGTATTTGCCGATGCTACCAAAACAATAGCAGAAATGGTGTCTAATCATGAATAACATAGCTGTGCAGGTGTCCTTATTTGGTCCCGTGTTTGCTGTTGCGCAACAAGCTAAAGGTCAAGGGTTTTTATTGCGATAAACACAAATATAAACTTGTACTTGTTATGATAAAAATAATAAATGAACAGTTGAGAAAGAAGAGCAGAAAGTTAGTTAAAAGAGCAATAGGTAATACATTTAAAAACCACGTAGTACTCTGCAGGTCGTATTGCACTTGCAATACAACTGCAAAGTAACAGTATAAATGTGTGTATGTGTTTGAAGGGGAATGTATTAACAGTAGTGTGGATATACACAGAGTGCTGGTCTTTTGTCCAAAAACTCATGAACTAAGACTCCAAACAGAGTAGGACAATGTTCCCTGAGGTTTTGCTCAGTATTTTAACAAAATAATCCCCTGTGTGTTTTTGTTAAAATACTCAAATAAACTCAGCCAGTCTTCAGGGATCAGTGTTAGACTCTGAAATGCTCTATATGCTCTCTGTTTGAAGTTACTCAGAGAATGAGTGAATACATGCCGGTGAGTGTTTTTTGGAGATGGTGATGCATGTATGCATTTGCAAGTGGTTTAGATTGACTGATGTTCGAAAGTCAACAGGAAGTGACGGCGAATCAAACAGACTCACGTACCAAAAACCCCATATTACAGACAAGATTGTGAAGTGTTTAAGGAAAAACAACTTTTTCTATATGGTAATACATGGCGTGTGTGTGTGTGTGTGTGTGTGTATGTGTGTGTCGATCCACCATAGCCTCAGGGTTTCTCGGCATCACTTACAGAGGGTCAAAGGAGGTAATAACACGCTTGTCCCTTCAGTTGAGATCCAATAATCGTTCAAAAAGAACACATATTTTATGTGTTTAAAAAAAGTCAGCCTACATCCAATCACAAATCTATAACCTTCATCCCCATCTCATGCCAATCCTAAACATCCTCAATAGATCAATACACTCAAATTACAGCAGTTGTTCCAGTTAATTGTGAGGTGATTTAGTGCTAATGTTTTGAGTAATTGCCTGTTTACTTTCCAATAAGGTATTGCAGTGGGCGACTAAATCACGTGTAGCCAACTTACAGCATTACATTACTGATAGTGTCATTATTCAGCTTTTAAAGTCACATAATACACATTCAGTATTCGCTGATGAATGATGTAGTTGCGTTCATAGTGCCCTACTTCCTGGTTGCCTTAATTTATGTGCGAGTCTGTGGGTGTCACTGATATGCAGTGGCTGTAAAAATGACCCTTTTCTGAGAGTGACAGCTTTAAATCTAGGAAGCAATGGTTCTGTGTACTGTATGTATGGTATGTGCTCTTGTGCGTGCAGAAACCATTTCTGCTGTGGGGGAAAAAAACTGCCTTTCAGCTCTTATCAGGGAGCTAGCAGAACGGGACCGATCACCTCCCACTGCTGAGCTATCAATGTGCAGTTAATTGCCTTTCAGAGGAAAAGCGCGCTGGGGGTTGTGTGTGCTTGCTTGTGGTGTGTGTGTGTTATTTATTTATTTTTTGCTTGATGGTTGGCTTTTTCCTTTACCGGTTAACCTCAGTTACAGTTCAGTGTGGTGGAGGATCTGTGCCTGGAATTGTCCCAGTGAGCCTGCAGTCCATCATTCAGATTGTTTACTTAAATGATAGGAACAAACGGACTTGACAGAAAGTGATACAAACCACATTACACAGAGACAGCAGCACAGAGAGATGAAGAGGGGAGATAGAGGGAAGGACAGATAAGTGGAAAGATGGAGGGATGCGGGCAGAGAGAGAGAGAGAAAGAGGGAGAGGTGGGCCGGGCTTGGCATGCGGACAGTGAGAGCTATAGAGGACAAGGTCGTTCAAGGTCTCTTGTCATGCTTTGTGGGTTACAGTGGGGGTTTGAATAGGATGAGAAGTGTGTGTATGTGTATTTGCGGGGGGCGGGGGGGGGGGGGGGCTTCTTCTGGTCTACATGTGTATCATGTAGTTGTGTCTGAATCCAATGTCCTTTGTCAGTGACACATCAGAATGCTATGTGTGTGTGTGTGTGTGTGTGTGTGTGTGTGTGCGTGCGCGCGCCCCCTTGCATATATGTTCTCCGCTATTGGCCTTGTGTTGTAGCCTCATACGTTAGCGTCCTCTAAACTCCAGTTCTCTCATGTCTAATTGCATTTGTCACAGTTTGTAGCCTTGAATACCTCGGCACTAACCATGACTCCAGTCTATACAGTGCTTGTTTGATGAGAGAGGTACTGTATGCCCACTGCTTTGTACACACTAGATGAAGTGTTCACATTCTCCATCTCTGTGCTTGAAGACTTCTTTTTTTTTCTTTTTTTTTTTACCAACGTGACCCTTAATAAGTGACGTTTTCAGACCCAAAAACGTTCCCATTTTGCTTTGCTCTGCAGGCATTGAAGCGGCTCAGTGTGGTACCGTGCACATATGTTCAGCACATATGTACCATCGATTTGTCTGGTAGGGATATGCATAGATAATATCTCTATACATTTGAAAAACATGGGAGGGAGATAGCAACATGTCAAAATATGATGGTGCCTGCAGGACTGGATCACACTCCAGAAGCCCCTCAGCATTTTTCCATCATATGGTGCCTCAGAAAGGCATCCATGAGCATGTGTGTGTGTACATGTGTGTGTGGATTTGTGCAGTATGTAGGCGTGTCTGTTGAGCCACTTCTGCCCGTGTTAGGATCTACGCTGTGTTCTTATTTTCCTTTTCATCATCATCATTATTATTATTATTATTATTATTATTATCCTTTGCAGATTTGCTCCAGCTGCACTGTAATATTTGTGTGTTGCAGAGGTAAGAGGAGAACATCGATTTCAGTTACCGCTTAGCCACTAGTCTCTAGTCTTGCAAGCCAGGCAGTTTGTATAAAACAAGATGAATGTGATGGAAACTGTAATACAATTACTAGAGACAAATTGCATCCTGTGGATTTCTAGCTCAGCAGTAATACACACACACGCACAGTAACGTGTACATGGACACACATCTGCACTCATTCGCAGAACGGTGTGGATCATATTGGCATTGCTGTAAGATAAATGTTGATTGGATTAATGGCCAGAGATAGTTGTAGGCAGTAGGAAGTTGGATACAGTTACACTGAGGCAATGGACCACAATTCGGCTGCACTGGGCTGGCAAACTTGTCCAAATAAAGGAGGGGTCAAGGACCTAGGAAGTTATTCCAGGATTTATGGACAAATGGTTTTGACAATGACTTTTCCTGTATTGTGTGAGTCACTCCTACAAGTAAATGAGCAATACACAGTCATTCACTTTACATATAGTCCATGCCCCCATTCAGGCACACAGTTGTTTGGTTATGGTGTACTGGGTGATTCGGGTGACTCACAGTTTGACCACATCCCTTCTATGTTCCATGGCGGACTCTTATTTGGCAGGTCGGTTATTTAGGTCAACCCACACTGAGTGAAACTGGCAACAAGTTTCTGTGGTGAAGTCCCCAAATAATAACTTTCATGTAAATTCACTGAACAGTTCTAATAAGAGATTTCTAACATGATGTGAGGATGGAGTCAGGTCTTGTGCTTGATTGAAAGCTAATGTTGCTGGTCACTGCGTAAAATGTACAACATGGCACACTCTGAAGTATGACAGGCATTGGGGTCACGTGATGTTTTTCAGAAACTGACATCCACGTCTAAACCCCTGGTGCTTCCACCGTGTGCGGCACTGCTGCATTCTCGGTTAGTTTGCATCCAGCCGTTTTTTGCTGTACCAAATAAAGGCATCAAAAAATTACACTCTACGACTAACAGAACATTAGATAATGGCTGAAAATATTAAGGCAAAACATTGCAGTTACCATGCACAGAAAGAAGGAATCAACCATTCATTTGAAATTCATTATCGCAGTCTCTTTCTCCGTCTTAAAAAAGTTTTGGGTTGTATCTTTCTTCTTGCACCACCCCCTTCATTATAGATTAACATTCCAATAGTGGCCTTCTTTGCAATGAAAGACTCTTGGTATGTGGTTGGGAAATCCCCTCCATTAAGTCACCAAGGCAGATAATCACTTTGGGCCAGATCAGGTGGAAGAGTGTGCTTACACCAGAGTTACTCCAAGGATAACTTCAGTGAACATGGGAATTGTTCTATTTTGTTTCTCAACGAGGAGGAGGAGGAGGAGGAGGAGGAATGAAAGGAGGATGATGGTGGTCATGAGTTGAACAACTGCAAGTATACGAAGAAACCCGAGTTGGCATTTATGCACCCCCGTGGGTTATTAGGCTTAACTTGTATGTGCCGCTATAGTTGATTTTTACTATCAGCTGTTTTCAGTCTGCAGGGTAGAAACAGGTGTGATGTTTACAGTGAGAACAAGAATAAAATGACTAAACTCTCTGTCTGTCTTCCCTGTGTCCACAGTGAATGAGTATGTGTTCATGGTCCAAGCCAGAGGGATCCAGATCAGAGAGAACGTGAAGAACATTGGGGCTCAGGTTCTGGAGCAGGTGGTGAGAGGAGCTTACAGCGTCAATGGCACAGGTGAAAACACACAGACCGATACACTAAGGTGTATTAGTAATGCTTACTGTAGCTCATATTCTGTCCTCTATGCAATTACATGGGCGCAAATGCTGTTTTCCACCCTAGTTAAATTAAAGAACGCAAGAGTGTATAGTTAAGGTAGCAGTGAAATACTAGAGGTGAAAAGATAAAAAGCATCGATTGAAAAATGTAGAGCACACAGTGGAAGTCATGCAGGGAAAGTCTGGATTAAGCTGCTCCTGATGGTGATGTTGATGCCTTTGTATCTGTGCCATCCCAGATTATTCCTATGACTTTAACTTGAGCGAGAGCGATGCTCCTCCCACCACATACCTCCCCGAGGGCTTCACCTACCTCCCCTCACAGGTTTGCCCTGAGAGGCTGCCCTCCATGAGTGAGTACACTCTTAAAGTTTTTGATTTAAAGTTTTCTTTTGGATACTCATGATTCTGTAATGTACTGTATATAAGGCACCAGCTGAGAAAATGCCTCTCAGTCTTCTTGGTTGACCGTTGATCACTTCAAACAATTGTTCCTCTGGTTTTCTTGGCCCTGTAAAATGTTTCTTTAAGTGAATTTCATTGTGCCTCTGTACGTATTTGTCCTAATAATGAGTCGTGAAGTGGGTCTGAGCTTGTGTTTTCTTTCAGCTTTGATTGATGATGCATGCAAATATATTGTAATGGCAGAATAGCTTTACCCAGCAATTTATGTCCCAGATTACTGAGCTGTTACAGGCTTTGACAAGTGTTCTTGCTAATTCCTGTGATCATTTTTTTTCACTTTTTCTCTTTAACCATTTCATCTCATTCACATGCACATCATGGCTCTCTCTCTCTCTCCCTTCCTCACTTTCATTCTTCTGCCTCATACAATCTGCCCCCTGTCCACACACACACACACATACACACACACACACGCACGCACGCACACACACACTCACACATACGCAGAGGGCAGGTTGGAGGTGAACATGAGTGAGGTATCCCTGGAGGAGGTGGAGAGATCCTTGCTGGATGTAAAGCCTAGCATGGTCCTAGGAGGCTACTGGAAGCCCGAAGACTGTTTACCTCGCTGGAAGGTAAGTGCGGATGTGACATTGTTAAAAGGACAGTTCACTGAAAAGCACTGTCGAATATACAGACAGATGAGTGGAGAAATATAACAAATGCTGATACTTCCATCCAGGGCACAAGGGGGTTGCTGTATGTTTTCAGCATGTCGATGATCCTGATCTCAACTCAAATAAACACCTATGGGAGATTTTGGTTCAACACCACCATCATTCCTATAACAGATAACAGCTACCAAAGTATTCCCAACAATTCTTTATGTAAGAAGTAAGTAAGTAAGAAGAACAGCTGTTAGTAACGGTGCCATTCTGCTTGGAAACAGACACTGCTGTCACAGATTTCAAACGTATTGAAATGAGACCTGATTATTGCTTTGAGCTCCACAAACTAGTCTGCTAGTGTGCTACAGCTGATGTCTTCAAGCTTTAGCAAATCTCAGTGAATCTTATACATAGCAAAGTACACGAGAGGATATAGTGTTTGTTTTTGAGTGTTATTTAGTGTAACCCTGGAAACCTAATGTCATAATAGGGTTGTTATGTCTGACATTTACATTTAAAAATGTACACATGCAGTCATACATAACTAATTACCCTAAGTTCAACAAGACAAAACATGAATTCAACCCTATATACGTGCATTGCAGCACTGTTTCATTCTTGAACCAGCCTCCTCTACTATGTTCTCTTATTTTATCACTCTTTTTTTTTTTTTTTGGTCCAACAGTGCAAGCTTTCCTGCCATCTGTCTGTCTGTCTCTTGCATTCATTTGCCTTGGGGGGCTGTGTATGTTCTGACAACCAACCCTCTATCTCGCTTCCTCATTAGCCAGCAATCTCTGTCAGCTACCATAATAGTCCCCTCCCTGTTTTCGATGACCCTTGCTTTTTGTTCCTCTCTGTGACAGTTTTCTTTTTATGAAGCTTCAAAAGAAACCTTAAAAAAAAGGGAACTGTCATAACTACAACTCTATGGGAAAAAAATAAATACCTCTTACAGATGTTTAGCGCCTCTGTGCTTCTATGATTGATGCACGTCAGATCTCATTGTGAAAATTAGATTTCAAGTCACAAGTCGTCATGGTAATTAGTGGGATGTTTTTTTGGGTGCTGTCTTCACCCACACTTTCCCATTTACCTACTGCTGAGAGATCATGTAACTTGGGACACTGTGTGCAAACAGCACCGTTTACTTAGTTGCACAGATCAGACTGTGCTGTAACTCTGGTGTGTCCTTGAACATTTATATACAGTGTATACGTCTCCATTTGTTTGAATGTTATTTTGATAAATGTATGTGTTGTATCTCCAGGTGGCAATCCTAGTCCCGTTCAGGAACCGACTTGAACACTTACCGATCCTCCTGAGACACCTGGTGCCGGTGCTGCAGAAACAGAGACTCCAGTTTGCCTTTTATGTGATAGAGCAGGTATGCACACATGTATTTACAGTCGTTTGCAGGGATAAACAGATTCAGCTGTGTGGATGCAAACACTTGTAGGAAGTGAGTCGTCTTCTCAGGTGATAATAATGTCAGTGCTTTGCAGTAGATAGCGGCTAAGCAGTATCTCTATTTCTTTCTTTAGGAGGGCACAGAGCCGTTTAACCGAGCCATGTTGTTCAATGTGGGCTACAAAGAGGCTATGAAGGACCTGGACTGGGACTGTCTGGTCTTCCACGATGTGGACCACCTCATGGAGAACGACAGGAACTACTACGGCTGCACAGACATGCCCCGGCACTTTGCGGTCAAGCTGGACAAGTACTCCTACATGTGAGTCTGGATTCGGTCTCCATGGGTTTGTCCAGTAAATGCATTCCTGTCCTAATGTGAAATGAATATGTATAACTGTCCCTCTAAGGCTCCCGTATAATGAGTTCTTCGGCGGTGTCAGTGGCCTGACGGTGAAGCAGTTCAAAAAGATTAATGGATTTCCTAATGCGTTCTGGGGCTGGGGAGGAGAGGACGATGACCTCTGGAACAGGTGAGGGGAGATTTTGTATTTGTGTTTTTTTTTTTTTTTTTTTCGTTTTTTTTCCCTCCACCCTTGCCACACAGCAGTGTTGTCCCTCCCACCACCCACGCAGCTCAAAGGCAGCTGTGCACACTCAGGACTTTTAAAATACACAGCAAAGTCTTATTGAATGTCCCGTGTACATGTGGCTTTATGTGATGATCCCTTTTGTTTGCAGTTTCTATGAAACTCTTTTCTGTACTATTTCTATGTCTGTATCACGTGACATTATGAATTAATGAGCAAAAAATATGTTTGTGTTAGGGTGCGGTATGCCAATTTCTCCGTAAGTAGACCACACGGAGAGCAGGGGCGCTACATGTCAATTCCACATCACCATCGTGGGGAAGTCCAGTTCCTGGGAAGGTTAGTGTCTATGTGTGCACTGCTCATTCACACACAAACACACTCACACACACACACACACACACACACACACACACACACACACACACCCCTTGGTTAAAAGTGGAAGCTGATAATTGGAATGAGGCTTAGGCTCATGTGATGTAAGCCAGTCACATGAAAAGCCAGAGCAGTGACTTTGAGAGAATTTCAACTCTTTTAAAGACTTTGCATGTGATATGCTTGTATGCTTCAGGGCAGAATTCCAATCATGCTCCCTCTGCTCAAATTCTTAGTTACTTAAAACAGCCCAAAGAATAAGTGTGACTTTAGTTCTCCAAAATGAATGTGCTTAGGTAAATCTTCTTTGTAATGGTCATGATTAATGCAGTGTAGTCATGTTGACAGTGAGGGTGTGATCTGCTGATGAACAACTCCCATGATGTAAAACTGCCACTTTCTGTATAAATCACAGACAATAATGCTGTCAACGTCAATGTTACCATGTTGTTACACAACGTGGGATGATGAAACCTGTTCCTCTTCATATGATCTCATTGTTTATTTATGCTCTGGCGCCACTCAATCTAAAATTGAAGCTCTTCTCTTTTCTCTTCTCCATTCACTGATTGGTTGTTCCTTCCTGCAGGTATAGTCTACTACGCCACTCAAAGGAGAGGCAGAAAGTGGATGGTCTTAACAACCTAAACTACTCCCCCATAGTGTCCAGGAGGCCTCTCTACACCAACATCACAGTCAGCTTGAGCAGAAAGCTTGCACCCATAGCTGACTACTGACGTAGGCACAGCTGTACTGCAGACCACCTGGGAATCAAAGTCCTCTGGGACATCAGCCATATCTCACCAGTTGCAGCACTGCTTAGGACTTTTTAGTTGATTGATTCTTTGCTTTGTTTATTTTGTTTGTATGCAAAAAAAAAATGAAGACTCAAATAAGTATGTTGGATAAATCATAAAAGAAAATAGGGATAAATGCTGCACTTGCTTGTGCTACAGTCCATCACTCCTCTCATCTGGGCTTATCTAGTCTTCAGTCTCCACATGCCTTTTGCACCATTTTGGCCTTCAGCATCCATTCATTCATTTTCTTATTCAGTCAACGATGAGTTCAGCCCTACACTGTCGTGCTTGCTTATTAAAATAGGCCATGATACACAGGCACATTCAAGTGCACGCACATGCCACACATGCACGCAGACAGCATTTTGACTTACATGTGCTGACATGGCCCCTTTGGCTTTTTTTTTACTTTGCGCTTGCACTTCTTCTTTTCACAAATGCAGTACACATGTGAAAACATTTGCATGCACCCACACACACACACATACACAAACACACACACACACACACACACACACACACCACACACACACACACACACACACACACACACACACACACACACACACACACCACCACCACACACACACCACCACACAGTAACTTTAAGTGAGTGGATTTTTGCAGCTGGTTCTGCAGGAGGTATGCCAAATCTACAAGATAAGAGAGCAAGAGAAAATGATATAAAGAGTGAGTGTTTTCAGTCATAAAAAACTGTATGTGAAATAGTTTATCCTAAGTTTTGAGAATATTAATACCTTAATCATCTCTTACCACTATATTTTGTCCTGTGAACATACCATTTAAAGACTGTGATGTTTGTGTTTGCATAGTTGCATTGGATGTTCTGGCTGCCTGCAAGTGGCTGTATGTAGGAGAGCAACGCTCATCCTGTTAGCAATAAGCTGTAATATCAGACAGCAGAACTTAGACCTGACTTCCTCACTATACAGATGCAATAGCACAGGTGCTAGCATACTCTTATTGGACTACAGAGGAGGAGTGACAGTGTATGCAAACTTCACATTCAGCACACCTTTGCCTAAACAAACATGCCACCCTTTTCAGAGCCTGTGTGTGTGTGTCTGTGTATATAAGTGAGGGAGAGCTATGCAAATGGCCTGTGTGTATTCTGTTGTCAGTGCGAGGTCTTCGGGGTGACCTCCAGGAGACTTCACCCCTGAAACTGTGACTGACTTGACTTTAGACCTCACTCTGTGTGCGGTATGTAAGTCCAGGCCAGGGAGAGATAAAGAGTCGCCGTTTTTATTTTTAGATCCCATATCCTCAATGTTTACTCACCTTCATTTTTACAGAAGAGAATTGGAGGTAGAAAATACTTGATTGCTGTCACTGTCACTGGTGTTTACAGAAGCTTTTGCTTTGTTATTTTTCAGATTGTCTAGTGTTTGTAATACTGTTAGACAGCCCTCCTTCACTGTGGGTGCTGTGAAATCTCTTCAACAACGTATCTATGGCTGCCTTTATTTTTTTAACTTCTTTATCTAGGCTTGGATAGGGAAAAGCGGATCTCAGTGCTTATCTGAGAAGTCAGGTGATAAACCACCACAGCTTGTATCCAGTATCTACTTGTTTGTAGTTGGTCACAGTAGAGTTTTAGTTGGATGGCATGCAGCCTAACTGTGCATTGACGCAGGCTGACAGCACTCTGGCAGTACAAAGCAGTTGCTAAAATGTCCCTCCCTAATTTGTGTGTTTGACAGTGTTGCTTTTGAGTAAAATATCCCAATACTGTAAACATAGTTCCTATTTAAAAAAGAACACACACATACAGACACTCTCTCCTCACTGGCTGTCCTCTAGTCATGCAGCTACTTCATTTCACACAAATCGCCTTGTATACATTTCTTAAGATGTATCTTTTGGGGAAAATGTGGGTGGTTGACAAACTGTTGTGTTCCCACAAAGAAATAGAAAGTAAAGAGGCTGGACCTCGTTTTATTTATTTGATCTTTTATGATTTATTTTCTGAAATTGTTCAGTTTTTATTTTTCTTGCAGTTGATGTGATGATTTAGTAGGTGACAAATGACTGGCTGTGTTAGATGCACTGAAACTTGTAGTTATGTGTATTTGTGTGGGTTTGTGAGGTTCAGATCTGTGTAAAACGGGGTTTGCTGCTCCATTTCATCCGGACGCTGAGTTCCTCTTCATAAATGACAGGAATGGCTCGTTTGGATGAAATGGGACGGGACCCGTAGCCTGGTGTGTATTAATCTGCTGAACAGACACGTTGGAGGAGGCCATTTTGTGTGACAACCACAGGAAGAGCAAGACACCGAATCAGAAAATGCTAGTGGTCACTGTCTTTCACTGAGCACCTCCTTTATTCTAATTGAAAATCAATGGTGCTGACCTTCCAGAGCTCCATTTGAGGGAGTCTCTTTCTACGTGCTTGCTGGAACAACCATGACATTATAAAGGCTAGTATCGTCAGGCAAAACATCCTCCCAACTTTCATTCATTTCCTACCTGCACATAAGCGGCATAGATATTCCATGTTTTTGCCTTTTTCTTTTTTTTTTACATCCATACATTTGTTAATCTGATGCCTTTTCATCCTGCCAGGTAAAGCTAATATGTTTATTTGTTGTTCTGGTTCATAGCCACAAGCAGAAGCACGTGTTTACCTCCTAGCCAGTCACTCAGGAGGTGCCCAGTGCAAGTCGTGGACGACAGTAGCAGCGTTTGTGTTAAGTTAACTTTTCCATGTGCGTTTGAGTGAAATGGCTAAACCTCTCAGAGGTGTAACTGTCCTCCATCTAGATTTTTGAGGTTTTTGTTTTTCATTTTTGTTTTTCCAGCACTGATAAGAACGTGATTTATAGTGACCTGGTTGTGAACAACCTAGAGGTTCTTTTCTAGTTCTTGACACATGATACACTGTATTTTATGTTTCTTTTTTTGTTTTTTTTTCTTGCTTAAAATTAAAAGCTAGATGGACATATAGCAAAAGCCAAATGGTTTTAGTTTGAGTGACCAGGTGAAGATTCAGACCCCGAGGTAGCTCTCTGGAAGGAGGCCCTCTGGAAGACAGCTATTCTTAGAGTCGGTATAAGACTCTAGACTCCACAATGTAGAACGAGCAGCTTCATCACACCTTATCCAAAAAGATGGGTTTTCTATGACTGCTAGACAACTTCGTCCACTAGATGACTTAGTGACAGGAGCAAATCAGTCTCTGGCTTTTATCTAAAACAGGAAATATTGTTTTCAGTTGGTGATAAGAGCATGCTGGCTAGTCCTGTTCCTGTTATATATAACCTGTAAATGGGTCTCAATCCAGACCAAGAGCAAGCCTGCTGCTGACTGAAGAGGCTTCCTTGTACCATAATCTCACCAACTCTGATCCATTCTGTGCCAGTTTAAATGAAGGGACCATTCTTTGGGCATCTGACAAGACTGGCAGCCTTAAAGCTTCTTAATTTATTGCAGTGTTTTTTCACTCAAGTTTTTTTTTTTGTTTGTTTTTTTTTTGTTTGTTTGTTTTGTTTTTTATAAGCAAAAATATTTAAATTTAAAAATGTGCATATCAAAATAATGATCATTGTAAATATCTCTGTGTGTAGTGTTTTAGAAATTCTATAAGGTCTTAAATCACTACAGATGCTAGCATAAAGAACAAGGCTTTGGAGGGGTTTGGCTGGGGGGGTTTATCTGGTGCCATTTTAAGTGCTAGTGAAGCTTACACAGCAACATCAATGTTTTTACATCTATCACTGCTTCCCAGCACAGCCTTTTTTTTTTTTTTTAAATTAAAAATATCCTTATCCTATCAATTTTAGATTCCTCTCACAATCTCAGAGGTGTTGTGCATTCCAGAGGCCTCCCTGTACTTAATATGCTGTAGCAGTAGAAGAGACATACCATGGCAGACGTAGGCATCTGTCTCTAGATGAAGTTCACTGTCCTCGATTCTGCGTGCGATGTCTCTTTGATAGTGACAGCAGTTGGGGTAAGGTGTAGGTCGGAGGAAAGCACTGCAGGATAGCGATGTGTCAGCCAAAAAACACCATATGCTTACAATGCAAATGAAACAGAGGCACCCAAACCAGCGACACAATCTACTCCAAAATCTACACAGATTAATTTTTCTTTTGTATTAAAGTTAACTACTTAAAAAAAAAGAAAAAAAAAAAAAGAAAAAGGATACAGATTGCTAAATTTAAAATCTATCTTCTCTGATTGTAAGGAGAGAAAATCTCCTTGAATTGAAGCCATTTGAAGCCACTTGTCAAAACTTGATGTCAGCCTTACGTGGATCTGTTTGTGTATCGGCATATTATCTTTTGATTATTGAAATTTGTATGATGGAGATTTTCTTTTATACCATCATTGTTATTGTCAAAGTACACCAATAAAACTTGTAAACATACAGTCTCTCTATCCTGCCTTTGTGTTCTGCCTGTGTGCATATTTTTTCAGTGTGCTTCCTGGAATTGCCGCCTCTGCCCAAGCATTTCTTCACACTGTGGTCAGTGAGTCTATATTTTAAATATTCATAAATATAATGTGGTCATACTGCATACTACAACTTCTGCTCTGCGAGTGTAAGCAACCACACACCCTCTCTTCCTGTAAAGAGATATTTAGTTTACACTTCATACCTTTAACAGAACGCTGGGTACAAAACTGGCCACAGAGCGTGAGCTGCCAGTGGAGGATTATACTGTAGTTTCAACTGCTGGCACTTTCTGTGGTCTGCATGGACTGTAAGAGAGAATTACAGTAGATTGGGAGATGGCTGCTTAGTTTGTTCAAGAGGATGTTCTGTAAAAATTAAAAAAAAAAAAAAGATTCTCTCATTACTTTTTATATTATGGTATAACTTGTTTGAGTTCTCCAATGATATCTATGTGAGGAACATTAACTACATTTTCTCAAGTCTGAGGAGTGAATTCCTGCATGAGCAGCCATGGGGTTTTGCACAATGAACAGGGATATAGACAGCATCACGTCCCCTCTTAAACACTCACCCAAACAGAGGATTATTGTCTGTGTTTTTGTCTCAGAGACCAGGGTTGTGGCTCTTGTGATCCACAGCTGCTAACAAAATCCCAGCATCTGGACAACAGATTCCTCAGTTTTAGTACACTTCTTATAATAGCCCAACTTTCCACTCTTGTCACTCTGACTGATGACAGTGTGTTTGTGTGTGTGTGTGTCTGTGTGTGCCTGTGTGTATATGTGTGGACATCCGGATCCTGAGACAAAGATGATGCTTGTTGGGATTGTCTAGCCTGTCATCCAGAAGAAAAAAAAAAAACAGAGCAGAGTGAGATGCTTTAACCGGAGGTCACTCATTGAATCAGAGCAGCTCCAACCCTGTGGCATTTAGCACATTAACCGCACATCTCTGCTAGTTAACAGAAGTGACAGCTGATAATTTAATTATGCTCTTGGAAAAAGGAAATGCTAAGTGGCAGGGATGGGATATCTGCATGGGAGTTTAAATATATTCCACAGGATTTGTGCACCATCTACCACAGTGTTTTCCTCAGCAAAAAAACAACAGAAAAACAAAGTGGTTATGGCTGTAATTAATATGATGGATTGTTTTTGAAAATGTGCAAAAACACCTCCATTTATCCTCACTGAAAACACCCATGCTTCTGTCCTTCTGTGTAGCAGGGGTTGCAGTGTGTGTGTGTGTGTGTGTGTGTGTGTGTGTGTGTGTGTGTGTGTGAGAGAGAGAGAAAGAGAGAGAGAGAGAGAGAGAGACTTGGCAGAAGCACAGAGCCTGGCTAGAGTAGCCACATTTTAATGGAGTCTGGGAAACACAAGGCTTTGCTATGCTAACACCAGTGTCACATAGCTGTCACACACACACAGAGGGCAGCTCTTAAGATCTCAAGAGTTGTCTTGGCATGTGTATACAACACATGCCAGGCAGTGCAGACACACACACTTACACATCCGCTGTTAATTTATCCACTTGCACCCCCTTGAGTATTGTGCCACTCAAAGGCTTTGATGTCATCTGTGGCGCCTTTGCCTTTGTGTGCTGCCTGTGTCTCTGTGCGCTTCTCCTCACAGAGTGTATTAAACTGGGATCTGCATCAGGAAATGGCTGCATAACTGAATTTGTCTTTCAGCGCTGCAGAATGGTGTCACACTCTTCATCCACACTTCTTAAGTGGTCTCAGACTCCACTGTATGTGTGTGTATGTGTGTGTGTGCCTCCTCTAAACACAGACTCAACGTTGAGAAACAACCAGAGAGACGTGCCCTTTAGCTTGCTACAATTTTTAGCTGGGTGTGTACCTTCTATATGATATATGATATGATATATGTGCCAACATCATCATCATTCAGAGTGTGTGTGTGTGTGTGTGTTTGTGTGTGTGTGTGTGTGTGTGTGTGTGTGTGTTTGTGTGTGTGTGTGTGTGTGCGGTCTCAAGCATGTGAAAAACAAGAAGTACAGGAGGAGAGTGGCCACAGAGCCCACATGTGGATGTCATATGACTTTACAACATGGCTCGGTGTTACATAACTTTTTTTAATCATGGTTTTAGGGTATAAAGATTGTCCAGCGTTACAGCAACCTACTCCCCTTCCTTTCGCCTCCTCTGCCGTGTCCTTTCCAGGTCACCAACAGGACAGTCCTTTGTGTGGTGCTGCTTCCAAGGGACGTCACAGCCTCCAGCTGCTGTCGGGGGCCCTGGGGTCTAAACTCACGCTGCTGCTGTTTGCCCTGTGGTAGAGCGCTGTTTGTGTTCTATGCTTGCACATGTATGTCTGAGCAGACATGTATTTTCTCCAGCTCCTGTTGTGACTCCTGCCTGCTTTCCTGTCAGAATGTAAAGGATACAGCCGAGGCACGAGGAGGCTGTAAACGCTTCTGCCTCCACGTCTCGCGTTCTTCATCCTCCTTGACACCGCTGCGCTCTCAGTGTCAATGTCCATCCTTTGCTCTCCTGCCTGCCCTGCCCTTGTCACATCCCCGTCTATCAGCTCGACTTTTCCTCTTCAGCGAGCTGGGCTCATCTTCTCAGCTCGCCTCCGTCCTACACTGACTGTCACAGCCATACTCATCCATTGTCTCATCCCATTTTTCTCTCTGACATCTTATTACAGTACTTTTTAAATTTTTTTATTTCTCATTACACGTATCCCACGGTATTTCTTTCTTCTCATGCTTATGATCAGCATCCCTTGTTCATCCCCCTGCCAATTCTGTCTCCCAATACGTCCATATTTCCCTTCGCCTGTGACCTCCACCCTCTCTATCCGCTCTGTACTGCCTCTCCAGCATTTTTATTTTTATGTCTAGCCTCTGGTTTTCATTATGCTTTGATTGGTTCATCCTGTTCTGGCTGTTGTCTTTAAAAACTATGTGCTGATGCTGTACAGAAGACCTGCTGACAGCGCTTCACCGGTGCAAGGTCAACTAATTTTTTTTAGCTCATTTCACTCAGTTTCATTCATTATCACTGAGTCTCACCTAACCTCTGACTCTACAAACACTTTAATATCCTCCACGCTTTCGCCTTAATGACCCCGGCGTATCATCCTGCTGCTTCATGTGACCATAATCTTGTGAGCTTGTATGTTTTTGCAACTTTTTGCAAAATGTGCTGTGCTCATGACCATTTCAATTACATTCTTATCCAATGCACACATTTCTTTTATGTATCAGTTTGGTAAAGTCAGGGGTTTTGAACAAAAGTGAATTCCTCAAAAAAAAAAAAAAAAACTGCTTATTCTGTGCAGTCACACCTCATATTCCTCCAGCTAATATGCTGCGCAGTATATATTAATGTTACTTTTCCGGTCCCCATTACAGGCTGACAGCCAGTTAATCAGTGAGGGATGTTGCTGTCTTAAACTATGTGCTGATATTCTGTGAAACCTGCAGACAGCGCAGCCTGACTACAGGCTCAGTCATAATTCAAAAACTGTTTGCTGTCCTAATTCTGTGATATTGATATGGAGGGAAATAAATGTGATGCAGCTTTTTGAAAAACTCACTTTCAGTAGTTCATTATTGTCAGATTAGCCCCGTGACTCATTTGTCATGTAGAGATCAAAATGGGAACTTTAGTAGTTGTCTTTGACCATCTACTACTTACTGTCAATGATGACCAGCCAACTTTCACTTCCTCGAAATCTTATCTCTTTTTGAGTCAGTGTAGTTCCTCTTGATCTTTTTTTTTTTTATCAACAATTTATCGGATGTGTCTTCTTTCCGCTGCCTGTCAGTGAAAAACAGAAACAGCCATAACAGAATATTTAGGATCTATTCAAAGATTCAGTTCTTCTTGTGACTAACACGTCACGAGGAAATCAAGGGAAGCATATTGAACCCATTTGACCACATCTTGGCAAGTTAATTTTCATTGCTGCCCTCGGCATGTCGATAATAGTCATTCTGGCGTTACACCAAATTCTGTGACCCTTCATATTCTGTGAACTCATAAAGAATTTCAGCCTGCCACCTCCCATGTTTTCATCATCACACAGTATGTTTCTATGTTCTATGTTGATGAGTTTAAACAGATTTGGTGCTCTGTGTGACATTATAGAGGAATAACTACATGAACAGAGGTGACACCTATAGTGTTTCTGCTATCACTGCTATCAATTGTGTTTTTTCTTACTGCCGTCAAACTGCTCTTTACTGCTGTCAAAATGCGTGAACCCTGTCTAAACACCGTGGGGGCACAATCTTTATTCAGAGGTGCTATCAAAATAAAGTATGATAAAAGTGTTGAAAAATGTTTGTAGTGGCAGTATACTGTAGCTGAAACTGGGTCACACAATTTGGTGTAACATGAGTATCTCTTCTCAGTTCTTAGATGATCTTGATTGATGATTTTTTTTATTTGGTTTGTGTGTTTTTATTGGGTTACTAATATATTAACAACAGTGTTGTTTTTCTTTTCCTATTTATTGTGTGTATTTGTTGGCAGAATATAAATGTGAGGAAAGGATAGAGTTAATTTTGTCCATTAATAATAACATCAAAAAAATGCAGGATTGTTCACATTTAACAATAATGACTTCAAATACCTCCATAACAAACTTCACATTAACTTCCCAGGCTAGCAGCTGCATACAATTCCTTACATGGATAAATAAAGTTGTATTGAATTGAACTGAATGAATTGTCTTGGTCAAAACATAACCCACAACCCTAATAAATTTCGAAAAAAAGACCCACTTAGCCAAAATTGTGCATATATAAAAAAAACAAAAAACACTGCCATTCTAAGCACAGCCCTGGAGTGTTTTAGATTTTATTTCTTTTCCATCTACCATGCTATGTAATGTGTTGTCACTGTCCCCCACTGGTGAATTATGGAACTTCTCTGCAACTTGGAGCAATGCGGCAGGAAACAAACAAAACTGTCAAAGCAGAAATACATATATCATTTTTCAACAAGTGTAAAACAGGAGTTTACAAAAATGTAAATAGCACCAAGTTGACATACAGTATTCTTTAAAAAGACCTGGCGAATGTCCACACAGGGGATGTCGAGTGTGCTGGTCAGTAGAAACCCGTAGCAGCGTATTAGTCCCATATCATTCACTTTGCTTTGTTATTACTTCTCTAATACAAACAGTTTAACATCATAACAATGCAGTCACTTCATATAAGTTAAAAAAAGGTAAAATATGAAAACAAAACAATCATGATCAGAGAAAAAAACCAAATGCCCTACAGAATAAAATCTCAAGGGAAAATATTGCCCAGCTATACAACCAAAGGTGTGTCTTTGTATTCTGTGTCTGCTTCTCCTCACTTCACTAAACTAAATACCCAGGACATCTGGAGGCACTGGGCTCGGGAGCTTATGGGAAATGACTTTCACCGGTTCAGTTAATTTGCATCTGTGCAGATGGGATTTGAAAAAGAGAAGAGAGAAGCAGAGGAAGTCACTTGAGCCTAATGAGAAGCACACATTAAGTCTCTTTTTTTTAAACATTTTGTAGCTCAGATGCTACTCGTCTATTTTTTGGTTGGCTGCTTCCTTGGCCGCGCAGTCTTTGACCTCTCCTTTCAGCTCAGCTAGCTGTTCGGAATGGATGGCCAGGGTGCCATTTACCTGGGCCAGGTATGAGTCTGAGTGTCTCTCAAGCTCTGCCCTGATCCTTTCCAGGTGCTCTGCCAGCTCTCCCAGGCTGCTGCACTGGCCCTCTACCTGGCTCACCCTGCTATCAAAGTCCTTCACCTCTCTCTGTACTTCTATCGCTGTGCTCCTGCAGCCATGCAGCTCCCCGGCCAGCCGTCTCTTCAAAGCCACTAGTTCTCCCTTCAGGTGGGCCAGCCGCCTCTCCCCGGCCCCCAGGAGGGAGGCTTGGTGGCCCACTAGTTTGGTGATTCCTTGCACCTGGTTTACTAGCTGATGCTCTCTCTGCTCCCAGGTAGCGTTAGCGTGGCCCACTTCACTTGTAATGAAGCTAATAGAGTCTTTTAGGCCCTTCAGAGTGCGGTTCACAGAGTTGATGTTGACCTTCAGCAGGGTGATCTCTCCCTGGACCGTGCCCTCTGTGTCCTCCTGGGCAATCCTGAAGAGCAGGTTCTGCAGGGTGTTGTTTAATCGGTCCAACCGGTTAGAATGAATGTCCAGGCGATCTTTTATCTTCTTCTCCATCCCTTCACACTCCTCCTCCACTTCAGTGACACTGACACCCCCTGCTGGTGGTGTGGAGGGTGAGCAGGAGGAGGTGCAGAGGAGCTCTAGGTCTATTAACTGTTTCTGAATGCCGTCCAGGTCTCCCTCCACTCTCCTCCTCACAGACTCGATCTCCGTCTCCAGTGCCGGGACCACCTGGCCCTCCAGGAGCGCAGGGGCCGTGGCATTACTCAGCTCCTCCACAGCCACAAACACTCTCTCCTCCAGGGTCTTCAGCTTGTCCTCCAGCATCGTCTTGAAGCCATCCAGACCGGCAGGGACCCCCCCTAGTCCATCAGGTCCACCCTCGGTGGCATTGAGGCGGCCCTCTATGTCCACCAGGCGGGTCTCGATCAGCGTCTCCACGTGGATGCTCTGGTCAGCCAAGGCAGTCTGGAGCTGCCTCTGAGATTCTGTCAAACCTTTAACTGACTCCTCCAGCAGCAGCATACGCTGGGAAAGGCTATTTACCTGCATAATCAATAACTTATTAGTTCATTTGTAACCCAATAAAAAGTCCACTTACCTTTGGACTGAGCCTGCATGAAAGTCACACTAGTAAATTCATTTAAGTGTTGTTTGTTTGACAAATGGGATGCATTTACTGACAATCACATTTATATCATACCTGTCCGCAGCAGCTCTCAGTCAGAGTCAAGCCCTGGATCTGAGCCTGCAAGGAACCCAACTCCTCCCTGAGCCCAGTCTCTCTTCCATCCAGAGACTGCTGCATCTGCTCCTGGCCGTCCATGTGCTCCCTGTGACACTGCCTCTGCACCTCCCCGATCTTCTTGTCACAGAGGTTCTCCAGACCGGCCAGACGACGCTCAAAGCCATCCAGGATCTCAGCACGCATGTCGGCCAGTTTGGCATCTAGGATTTCGTCAACATGAGCAGTGGAGCCGGGACCAGGGATGGGCTTGCCTCTAGCTCCCTCCAGCAGTCTCTTTAGCTGGCCATCATGACCCAGGACCATTCCCTGACGACACATACAGGTGAGAAGGAGAAAAAAAAGTAGCATTCAGTAAAGGAAGGAGAGACATCAGGCTGTACAGATATACTCAACTGATCTTTATACAGCCAAAGTTACACAGTACCTGGATCTCCTCTAAGATGTGAGTCTTGGCTCGCAGCTCATCCCTCACTTCTGTCACTCTCCCTGCTAAATCTCCAAATCCAGTGAATCTTTCTTCTCCATCCAGCCCATCAGGTGTCCCATCTGGGATCACCCCAAATCCCACGGTAGAGTCAGGCACACGGGCACCGTTGGCCAAAAGAGACACCAAGATTTTGTTGGTATCCTCTCGGAGGGATGTACGCAGTCGCTCTTCAAGGCCAGCCACCACCCCGTTGAGAGTGTCCAGACCCTGGGTGAGGCGACGCATGTCGTCCTCCATACGGTCCAAACGTTCACCGGTCACTCCAGAAATCCCAAATTTGTTTCCTGTATTTCCAAGGATAAGAAAAGGAAGAATGATGCAGCTGTGAGGGTTAGAGTTGAGTTGAAAATACTTTCTCAGATGCACACAAACACGCGCTTGCACACAAAAACAGCAGTAGTGGAAGTTTAAACCACAGTCTGTTCTCACCATGGTTTGGTTTTCCGCCTCCAGCAGGCAGTTGTCCTGTGGGTATTGGTCTGTGGTCAGGCACATTTGGGAAAGGTTTGCCCGGCTCCAGCTGGCCTCCTCCAGGTTTCTGGTCCACGGGGGGTCTAGGGCCATGGGGGAAGCCCTTCATCCCTGGGCGATGGGGCATACCAGGACCCTTGAAAGGTGGAATCACGCCATCAGGGGATGGCGTGGGTCCATCGTAGCAGTTTTCTCCAGAGTAGCCAGGACAACATCTCCACTCCAGCTCAGTCACTGTCTTAAAACCCACCTTGTATTTTGGTTTGTAGAATGTCCTGTACCTGAAGGTAAAAAAAACATGTTTACTATCAGAAATTAAGAGTTTGGTACAATTTCCATTGCAGGGCCTTTCAGAAGTGCTGCAATTGTTTTAAATAATTAAGAGCACTGAGCCTGGACAGAGGATGGAAAGATGGGAGGTGGTGAGCAGAAATAAAGGGATGAATTTGTTCTCTATGGGATTAAACATGGATTAGAGGGAGATTAGGAGATTAAGATAAAGTGTAGTGTAAATGACGCGGTATCAGGGGATTGAACCAGGGTGAGCACTGAACTTCAGTGTTATCTTATATAAGCCGAATTTCGATTATGAATCAAATTCTCTGTCTCTCTCAGACACACACAATGATTCATCCTTTTTGAGGAGAAAATCTACTCCTTTAATTTCCCATGTGTGGGGGCTTTTGAAAGGCACATTAAAAAGAATTACAAAATCACATACAGTAGCTTAAAGAATCTCATCTTTCTTAAAACCACAGTTTGTATCATGATGACATGACATTAATTGCATTAATCCAAATATTCTCTTTTGTGTCACTTTCACAAAGGTAGGTGGGCAGGTAAGAAAACAAGTGTAGCTACATCTAAACCAGAATAATCAATTAATGAGGAGGAGCTTTTAACATTTTTAATGTGCTGAGAGAGAAATGGTGCCAGCATCCTTTGAACTTATGTTGTTCAGTTGAATAAACAATCAAAGTCTTTATAAAAATTGAAAAGATTAACACCCCACCTCCCAACACCCCCCACCCTCATCCCTCTGTAGAAGAACTCTGTCAATAAACACGGGTGTGCATGCAGCAGAGGGCCTGCACATCATTATCTGAACAGCACATCAGGTGAACACTAGAGGGTAGCATTGCTGTAGAGACTATCCCACAACGTGCTCCATGCACATATTAAAACCTCACAACCAAACGTAGTAGGACTCCAGCTGGATTGTGAGAGGTTTGTGCCTTTTTACACAGTTTGCATTTTATTAGTTTGTTTAAAAAACTTACATGACAACAGGACACTTCTGACCCCAGATGCACTTGGTGGTGTACTCAGCCTTCACATAGGTGGACACTCCATCCTGCATGGTGCATGTGATGTTCTTCTGGACCACGTAGGCACAGTGGTTTCTGTGGAGACGGTAGAGCGACATTAGAGTTAAACAACTTTTGTTACTGATATATACACACCCAAATACTCTTATTTATGACAGCAGCCATTCTTTTGCTCTGTATCTGTGAGACTACATAGCTTTTGCTCAACAGGAAACAATGTGGCAGTGATAATGGTAAATACTAAGATGTGGTTTAACACTGTGGTGGAACAATAGTCAGGAGTCATCGCATTGGATAACTCACTCAGGAGTGGCAGTTACACACTATCTACCTTAGTTTAGCTAACATTAGCCATCGTAAGTGACACAGGTTTAATAAGACGCCGAAACAAAACTTTTCTGTCTTATGTAATCTTCATGATGACGGATGCTTTAGATAATATTTATTCATCCCAGTCTTTGAAGCTTTCAAATAGTTTCCACAGAAGAGCTATATGTTGCATGTGGTTAAATTATGACAAATTATGATGATAAAATTAGAAAAACATCTCAGCTCAGTTTTATGCCCACCACTGGCATTAGTCAGAATGATGATGGAGGATGTTTGCTTAGAGCTATTCATCTGTCTTTGCTTCCTTTCAGTTAAGGTAATTCAGCCCCAGGAAATATTACAGAGACTGTTTTCAGATGTATCCAGAATCCAACACATAATAACTTCACTTTAACTACTTTGAGCAGTTGTTGCATCATGCTGAAGCTGGACCTTCTCTCTCCTCTTTCTTCATTGCCAGTGCAGCTATAGCAACTGCTAAATGTTCCCCTGGCCCCCGTGCAACACAGGAAATGATGATCTGGGCTCTTTAGGCTCACATGTGAAGCATTTCTTACATTCAGAGGGGAGCGTTTAGCAGCACATGCAGTACTTAACGTTGCTCGCACAGCTGTTTCAGGACAAATAGAAGTGTTTTGAGGAGCAGGGAGGGACACGAGGGCCGAGGAGGGCCTACAAGCCAAGTTAACAGGTTCAGAGGGCTAACAGACAGCACAGCCTGTCAGAGTCTGTGAGAAACCCCGGCACTGCTGCTGCTGCTGCTGCTTTCTGCAAATCGCTGACTGTGTTGACAGCGTTTGTGTGTGTGTCACCACTCTCCATGTGTTGACATATGTTAATAGCAGTGAAAGGAAAAGGGCAGGAGTCAGAATGACAGCTCCTTTCATACCAGCCTGACAACATGCTGCCAGGTCAGGCGTTGTTAAAGAAGTGGCGGTTACGACCTGAACTGATGTGGTATGATGGGAGCTCTTAAAGCACTTGAAACTCACACAAGCAATTTACTGGTCACTGCTGAAGATTTTTTAGTGTAAAAAAAAAAAAAAAAGGAAATCTGGCTAGAAACATTGTTTTTATGTGTCATGTGGTTTATGAATATTGATGTCTTTATCTGATAACACAAATTGTGCTGTATCATCACATTTGGCATATTTTCCTTCTCTTGAAAACTCATAACAAATAGATTAACCCTCGTACTGTTACATTGCTCCTAATAATTTTCTGTTTTCATTTGTTTCAGCACCACCATCCCACCTGCAAGCTCTTTTGTTTATGATCCCTGAGTGGAGTTAAGACTGATCGCTCCCTCTGCTCTCATCTGCTGCTCAAACAATACACAAACCCTTTGGCACCAAATTAAATTACATTTTTTTATTCGGTTTTAAACATGCGAAAAGTCTGGCACAAATATATTTTTACAAGATCACATTCACATGGTGGTGGTAATAGAGATTCCTGGATTTAGGAAAAAGGGACGATATTTTCATCCAGAGATTATTATATTGTAAAATCTAACTAGTGTCTAATGGTTTCCTCCTCATAAATGACAGATTTACCAGCAGCAATAAGGAGCTTCATGACTCGTTTTTGTGTATGGAAGAGTTGGGGGGAAAGCTTCTATAGGCATACAAGGATTTGTGACAGCTGATAGAGAGCAGACTCAGTGCATGAGTGTACGTGTTTATACATCACAGTAAATGTGTGATCCCTCTCATGTTACACACAGGGCCGATCAGCGGACTGAAAAGTGACCATGTTCACCGATTTGTTTGTCAGGTGCACATCTGCGACGAGCCAATGACCTTCAGACTCACACACAATGGCTGAAAAGTGCAGGAATCCAGATGTACAAGAGAAGAAGAAGAAAAAAAAAAGTTTCTCCTGTGCACAGGTCTCTGTTTCTGCCTCTCTTTCTCTCCCTGCAGTCCGCTCTTTGACTGTTTTCACAGATCTGTCAATGTCATTTGGGTTTGTGAGTGATATTTTATCCTCGGTGTCTTACAGACAGAGGGGCTCTGGCTTTGTGTGAATCAAAGTTGAGCGCTGAGATAAATCCTGTCCCTCTGCGCCGCAGTGTCTGTCAGGGCAACAGCAGGTCACCTCCTCTGCTGTGTAAAAACACATTTATTGGACAAATGTTGAGTTTCAACTTGAGAGATAGTGATATTGTGTTTGAGCCGTATAGACACTGACACACAGTCACACACACACGTGCATATTTCATACATGCACAGTGGAGCTCTTGGGCCTTTCATCTCACATCCACAGAGACCACACAGCTCTGCAGGATGAGGATTACACAAGCTTTATCACCAGAAATATGAACCCATTATGCGTGAGTGGTCATATGTGAGAAAAAAAAAAAAAAAAAGGGCCGTCTTTAGTGTTTATTATCGTCTCCGCCAGTCCCAGCTGCTGCAGGGTAGGTGAGAACTTTGTTTAGGCTGCTTGTGTAGGAGGATCTCCAGCCTGCAAAAGGCAGCACTAATATGGACACTTGGGGCATATAAAGGATGAGAAGTCATGCTCCAGTATGATCTGAGATCAGGGGAATATAGAGAGGAAGGAGAAGGAGGAGAGAGAGAGGAGTGCTGGCCTACTCTGAGCTATTTTCACACTTCATCTCGTAGCTAATGTGGCACAAGGAGACTGGTGTTACTTTCTGATGTTTGTTTTAGCTCTTGTGGGTGACAGGTGGGAGGGGTTGGCCACACAGAATAACCCAGTAAGTGCCAGACAGTAAAAGTCACTTAGGTCACCTCAACATTATTTATGAGTCATCTTTAAAAACAAGGAGCGTATGCTACACAACTGCGACAGATAATTATAACAGCCATAGTATAAAGAGACATTGGAATTGTTTTACATACAATGAAAGTGACTGGATGAAGCTTTTAGATTTAAAGAGGTCAAATCGAGGGCATAGGTGAAATATTTAGCTCCAGCCTTTGCTTTGGGACAACAACAGCAAAGGTATGAGGAACCTTCAACTTTAACTGTGCCTGTCGGACAAAGTCATTTAGATCCTCAGGTCAGAGAATCTAAGAGGTGGAATAATGAAGAGGGTCAGAAGAAGTTGCAAACTTACCTTGTAAATCCTGATACAGCCATGCTAGCGGCTCTGTGAGGCTGCAATTAGGCTTTGAGCTAAATGCTAACATGCTCACTATGACAATGTCAACATGCTGATGTTTAATAGGTATGTTTCCTATGTTGCACCGTTTTAGCTTAGAGCTTTAGCATGCTAACATTTGCTAATTAGCGCTACATACAAGATACAGTTGAGGCTGATGGGAATGTCAATAGTTTTGCAAGTGTTCAATTATGAACCAAAGTACTGGACAAATTAAAACTTTGACATGATGATGGCATTTAGGGAAAATTCAGGGGATCATCAAAGTTTTCCATCCAGAGGGGGCATTAATGAGTGTACCAAATGTTCATCGCAATCCATCCAATAGTTATTAAGATATACATCTACATATCGCTAAAACCCGCGAGCGCTAACTCCTGCGGATCAGTATGCTTTCTTTGACTGAACTTACCAACCTGATCTCTAATTTTATCTACTGTATCTTACATTCCACTTGTCCATATTGTTGTATATTGTTGTCGTAATTGTTTTTGACGCTATGTGACATTTTTCTTTTTCCCACACTTCTCTTTTGTGTTTCTCCAGTTGATCCACACCCTCGCTGAACCACCCAACCCCGACTGACCCAACTGATTCAAATTCTTCAGTGTATTAAATCCTCTTGTGAACCTCCCACCCTCACCTGACCTACTGTTCCTCCCCAATACATATCAAAACAGTCTTCACCTCCTTTTGCCATGACAGGAAAGCCACACTTACTACTTCTCTTGCCTCATTTGCTTCTCTCTCTCTCTCTCTCGCTCTCTCTCTTTCTCACCCTAACGCACCTCCCCCCTTAACGCCAAAATATTGTCTTTTTTCTGTCATTGGAGCATGACACTTTTTGACTGCTAGTCTGGTCCCACTGTAAATATTTCCAGTATAGCGTTACAGTTTCTAAATCACTTCATAGCCTCCCAGGGGGAAAGCAGAATTCCCATCTCAGATTCTCATGTGGAGCGTTTTCAGCAAATATTATTGCTGCTAGACCTCCACCCTCTGCTGGGACCAAAACAATTCACCTTTCCATCCCCCTTTTTCTCCTAACCTTCCTTGCCTTTTTTTTTTCCTGCAAAATCTCAAAACTACAGGTTATCTCTGTTTAATTATCTAAGCATACCATCATGCTCTTGCCTTTGTTTCTAATATTGTCTTTTTTTCTTCCACTTTCTACTTTTCATCAAGCCGCTCTGTGATACCTAATCATGTCCCTGACGTCTCCAGCCATTTAACCTGCCACTTTTCCAACCATCGCCCTGCCTGTTTTGACATTGTGGCACTAAAGGGCTCACCTTCTTCATTACTAACCGCTCTCTCACCTGCAGGGTTCCTGACTGTTTGAACTCAGGCCACTGCTGTTGCCTCTGACAGATTTATGACTGGAGCAGCCCAGATAGAAAACCATGCAATCTTTAATAGGACCTTTAACAACCGTGTCTGTGAGCTAACAGCTCTCCTCCAGGGCCCATCTCTTTCCATATATGCTTTTAATGAATCCTATTTCGGGCCAACTGGCAGGTCTTGAAGGTCCCATGGTGTAGGGTTGATTGACGTTACTCATGTGGCTACTGATTAGGGTTAAAGGAAAGACGTGATACTCCCAGCTCTAGGACCATGGGGATCGCTCTTTCATTCATGGACAGGGTCAGATCTGAGCCAGCTCTGGTTACTATAGCTTAAAGGCAGACCATTACTTTTACATGTGCTTCAATTTGGGCCATTGGCCGAAATTTCATTTTTACAGCGATGAAATCATCATTTTGCAAGATCCTATTCATTATAGATAAACTTTTAGTTGTTATAATTAGATAAACACAAAATCTCAAAAGTTGTTTTCTTGTCGCATTTTTCTTGATGAAGTTTTGTTGTCTTGCATTTTTCTCTTGGAAAACAGTAAGAAGCTCAAACACCGGCAGTGAAAAAACACACCAATGATTTATCCTCAGGCATTTCCCAAAGCACATAATCTTCTTTGAGTAAGAATAGCTTTCTGTACTTTTTAAATAAAAGGCTTCAGACAGACTTGTTAGATTTGTTAGACTCACTGTACTGTATATTTTCAAAACTAATCCCTGCTAGCTGTAGCACCATATTAAAGGACATGTGAGAGTGGTATCAATCTTCTTAGATAATGCTATATATAGACAGGGACTGAGTGTATTTCCCAAAAGGTCAAAATCTAATTTTGACAGTTTGGAAAAAAAATTTGGAAGCATCTTCAACACTTTATGACAATTTAATTTAGATATCAAAATATAATAAACAATAATGCTAAATTAGTTGATACTCTAATATTGTATAGTACATTACCCTAACCTTTAAATGATAAAATCCATATTCACTGCATAAAAAAATCCCAAACATTTTAGCAGAAAGCAGTAAGTAACATAAATATGTGTTGGTAGGGAGCTTGGGAGTTTACTGCCCAGCCTCTGTGACCCTTAGCAGGAGACTGGCTCCATTCTTGTCCTCCACTGGACACTCAAACACAAACTTACAACAGCAACCCATAACCTCTAACCTCAACCAACTAACTGACCTTTCTCCCTTGATCTCTGTCCCATACATCATCGAAAAGCCCTTGGATATGTCTCTAATCTGATCAGTGAAGACATGTGACTTCTGCTGGGATCCCAATCAATTTATACAACACCCATTTCCCAGTAATGGGTATATGGCTCTTGGATTATGTTTAATAGCGGTATGTTATGGTGCAACATGGAGAGGGATGCTTGTGAGACACATTTTTATCTTTGCTCTTTTCCTTCTTGATGTAAACAGTTATGCTGCAAATGTATTACACAGAATATAGACTTTTCTAATTTGCTCTTGCAGATGACATGTAATGTCAAAAACGGACCAAAACACACTTGAGGAAAACTCTCTAAGCCCCCCATGCACAGTTTTAGCCATGGCACAATTAATAGAGTGGTAAGTAGAGAATTGTAACTGTAGATACTCAGACATGTGACAGTCAGTGACCAGAGGCTATTCCAGCAAGTGGCTGTATTGAATGAAAGGAATGACTGTGAAATCAATTCAGTCGCTTTGCTGCCAAAATACAGATAATAATTCAACATGTAGAAAAAAAAATCTTTGGTTCACCAACAGCTGAGAATTTTTTAAATGTCTCACTAAAAACAGCCGTGTTTTGACCATGTGACAGTGCGGTCAGTAAGAAACAAGAGCGAGCATTTACAAGCTGTAAAAAGACGAGTGAAATCCTTCACAAAAACACATGTAAACAAACATACACCCGTACATATATGCACACACACACACACACACACACACACACACCCACACGTCATAGCACGTGTGTTATTTTTAAGTCTCTATTTCCACTGACCAGTCAGGCAGACAACAACTGAGCTCATGTATCTGTAGTGGTGGTCTGACACTGACACGTCCCCGGGGCCCACTGTGTCCAAGATGGGTCAGCAGCTCTTGTATAAACACTATAGTTGGACTCACAGACACATGTGCGGGAACATCACCAGCTACCACAAACAAGCAATTACAGACCATCTGTCAATCTTAGTTTTGAATAGAACAATCTATAACAGCTAGCCGATCGATCCATCTTGGGATTCAGGCTTAAAATTGTATCTGGCATAAATTGGCGTGTGGAATATAAATAAACCTCTTTGAGGCCGCTGACAAAAAAAACAGATGCCACTGTCATTCGCCACCAGCATACAGTAGGCTGGACGAGGATGTGGATGAGACCTCTGGCATGCTGGATGATAACGTTAAGCTAGCTGGTGATGGTCAGTGAAAAACATATGCTGGTTGCTTGAACCACACACTGTATTGTTTTGATCTATATGTGTTAAATAATACAGAATATGTCATGTGTGGCTGTGTAGTTGTATAAATGCACATGTGACACAGCTGTACTGTGTAAAAAAAAATAGAGTAATGTAATATGTAATAAGTAATTGATTAAATTGTTTTGTGGAACTTGCCCAAATCTGATCACAAATGAGAAAAAAGTTGGAAGAAGTTAGAAGTAAGTGCTGGGAGAGTAAACAGTGCATAAGACAACATACTGACTGGAGATAGAGGAAAAGAGAGGGATGGATGGAGGTAGGTGAGAAAGTTAAAGGTGAAGGCTGAATGTTGCATTCAGAGTGAAGGACGCAGAGGTGAAGGTACATGGCAGACTAAACAGGGCTGGGCGATCAGCAGTCTTCTGTGGCAGTTTGAGTGAAGCAGCAGGTAGCTGGGGAGCTGTCCAAAGACATAACAGCTCTCAGGGGAAGCCAAGCAAAAGAGATGGGGAAAAGGGAGGAAAAAACCAAAAGAGCCCTGCAGACAAAACATCAGCCATCTCTATTCAGGCAAAAATATATCCTCAGGCCTCTGTTTCATCTCACAGCTTCATGACCTTCACATATCATGCATAGAATGAGATTATTATTCCTCTCTGCTCATGTGGTTTGACTGTTCAATATCAGTCCAGTGTATTTACATACATCACAGATCACTGATTAAAAACAGAAGAAGATCCTTCTTGTTGATACTGGAAGAGTTAAGTAGAGAAGAAAAAAAAACGTTTACAATAGTAATCTAAATGTAAATTCAGTTGGATTGATTGGGGATTAGTTGTGCCACTCCCTTCTGGCAGTGGGTGCCCAGCTGTACTGTAAGTCTTTCCTCTAATTGAGCCCCCCTCTTGCCACACACACACACACACACACACACACACACACACACAGAGCGACTGCGATGGATCAATACCCTTGTCATCAACTCGGCACCCGCCTCTCTGCACCGTAAAGACCATAATGACGGCTTTGTTTTCATAATAACGCTGCATGTCATTGTTGCTCTACAATGTTTATCCCCGGCCACAGATGGTTTTAGGTGTGAACCACAGAAAAGGGCTGATGGTGAGTAAGAGAGGAACAGAGAGTCAATTCAGGGATCTGTTACCAAGCCGATGCCCTAACTAAAACCATATTTCTGCAACTCGCCGGTGACATGTGTTCCTCAGGGGAAATACAGTATGAGGTGGGTCCTGCTCACAAGCACTCTAGATATTTGGAATTCTTTTTGAATTCAATACCCTGCAGCATGGGAAGGGAAATAAAACGTGCATTAGCGCCTGTGACATGTCCAAAACGGAGCACTTACTTGTGACGAGTCATGGGCTTGTTTGGTAAATGGTGAGGGTTGAGTCCAGCCTTGAACAGGTTGTATCTGTTTCCATAGAAAGGGTTGACATGGCCTCCATAGAAAGTCCCTTTACTGTCCGCCACAGATAGCAACACTCCTAAGAGGAAGAACTGTGCAACCAGTTGACACAACTTGGTCCTCATTGTTTTTTTCTTTAAAAAAAAAAAAAAAAAAAAAAAAAAAAAAGCAACAGTCTGATGAGGAAAACGGGGTAAAAAGTGATAGTTGTAGGTTCCTCAGAATTTTGTGTTGGAGCTCCCCGGCGCACGTGCAGTCTTGTCTTCTTCAGTGGGCCCTGAAGGAGACATGGAGCCCAAACAGCTGTAGCATCAGCAGCATCTTGCCCTGTGCGCCTTCAGCTTGCAAACTAACCACACTCTGAGCACACAGGACAGAGCAGAGGGAAAACTAGTGAGGCTGAAGAGGGAGGGGAGAGGAAGAGGGGCAAGGAAAAACAACACAAAGGTGTGCAGGAGGAGGGGAAAGGAGAAAGAGGAGAGCAGGACAGAGGAAAGAAGGAGGGAAGAGAACGTGTGAGTGTGTCTCTAGGAAAGTTTCTGCTCACTACACACACGCACACACACACAGACACACACACACACACATACACACACGCAAGCTAGTGTGAGACCTGCTGACTAGGCTCGGCCCTCCAAGTCCTCTGCACTGTGCATGAGTGAGGGTGTGTGTACAAGAAGCAGTGTGCTGCTCTGCTGCCTCTGAAGGGGCAGGCAGACAGACAGTCTGGATTTGCATATCCCACCCCAACTCCAGCCTGGCTGCTCTGCAAAAGTGGGGTGGGATGGGGAGGGGGGGGTTGGCTGCTAATATGATTTGGTGACTCTTTCTCTCTCTGACACACACATATAAACACAAGCACATATAAACACACACCTTGAAATCAGATTCTGAAGATCAAACAATGCCTCTGCTTCTTTTTTATCATCCCCTCGCCCATTTCCACCCAATCTCCAACAATCATAAGTTTTTGTTTTTTTAATCCCCTAACAATTTTATTTCTTTGCCCTCTCCTTTTCTTTTTTTTTTCTCCATCTGCTGTGGGAGCAGCTGTACATCAAAGCACAGCCCCAGTGTTCATTCAGTGCCCTGTGCGTGGCTGTGGCTGCAGCCAGCTAAGACGCTGCAGATCTGGACACAATGGACCTCCTCCTTGCTTCACCGCGGTCACTCATTAAAAATCCCAGCCACAGCTTCAGTTGCGGTCCACACCCTGACCCCCTGCTTATGTCTTACCGCGCTTCCGCTGCAGTTCTTGAATTCATGCTTAACTGCCTCTTGTGTCTTTCGGACGGTTTGCTCTGGGTATTACGCAAATGAGTTCAGTCCCTATAATAAGACGGTGTCAGTGTTTGGTCTGAGTGAATGTTTGTCGAGCCCTGTAGGATTTTTATAAACCTCTACTACAAGTTGTTGCTGTTGGTTGATTTGTACTTTTTTCATGTGTTGTAGCTGATTTATAATCATGACTGATTATATAATCATGAATCATGAATCAAAATTCATTTGTGCATCTGTAATAGGTGGTGCTGACAGCTTGGGTTCATAATGACTTCTTTGGTATCCAACATATTTGTTTGCAGCAAAATTACACAGGGATTTAAAACTGGATCACCAATCACAGTGTTTCACAATGTTTACCACTGGCTGGATCACAGTTTTGTCTTTTTTGGACGAGAAGACAGTGACCAGATGGGGAGCCCCGGCAGGACTTGTCTGTGTGTGCCACTGATTTTCAAAGCAACCCTGAGAAAGAAAACCTGTAGCAACAGGCAGGTGTCTGAATGGACCTCTTTGTTTGGACGGTCCTTCTCACCTGTGTGTGGACTATGCATCATTTACCATTCTCTATTTACTCTTCATTTAGAGGTCAGTGTGAAAGAACAACACACAGCTTCACGGTATGCAAAGAGTCACTTCACACAAGTGGAAGAGTTCCCAAATATAGACCCGAGAACACTCAAACAGCCGTGGAACTGGTGGCTTTATCAAACAAAATGGGTTTTAGTGATGAGTGGATGAACAAAAAGCTTGAAGCAAAGCATTTTTGGATTATGGTTCTTTCTAGCCCTCATCAATTTTGTGTTTTTGCTGCATAGGTTCAAACATCTTTAGTATGTGAAGCTGAGGTGTTTTGCTTCCTGCTGAAGATTCATCCAGTCGCTTCAGAAACTGTCACCTCGCATAAGTAGTGAGACAGTGAAAAGGAAACTATTCTAAATCTTTGTCTATTCTGGCAGACGTCTCTGCTCTGAAATACCGTTTCTCACAGAAATGACTGGCACAATTTTAAACAGATGTCTGTCCCAGCACGCTGTCCAGATGTTAAGGAAAAGCGAGTGATATCGTTGAATCTCTCACTTATGCTAGTTTATGATCATTTATAACATTTAGTGGAATCACATTCACCTTGAATTATTAATTGATGAACCAAAGCCGTTTTTGTTGGCTGTAAGCCTCATGAGTCAGGGTTTGTTCCATTTATTCTCCTCCTCTTTTTTTCATTTCCTTGTGTTCTATGTAGATAGATGGTCATTCTGCCAGTATTGGACTTAATGTCTTTTGAGCTACATCTGTGAATAGTTTCAGATAAGTATCCTTATCTGCTCCCCTTGACTAATTCCATATCCTGGATGGAAATCGGAGAAGAAATTTATGCACCTTTTTAAAAAGTCTGTAACCTCTTGAGCATTGAGCTAAAATAAATCTTTGGCCTTTCTACTGAATTCAAGTCAGTGACAGTGACCAAAAATATTAAACCCCACAATGTGCAATGTCCTCAACTTTATGTGGTTTGGACTGAGGATACAGTCAAGTGTATGTGGTGCTGTTGAACTGTATTGCATTAATTAAAGAGGAATGTCTGCTCTTTGGCCGGCCCTCATTGATTTTTAAAGGGTGGACAAAATAATAGGAGCACCTGTCCGCATAACATAATATGGTTCAACAGCTGCACAAATTTCAGCCTCCAAAATCTTCATATCGACACATTTTTTAAATGCAGTTTTGACCAAAACTGAACATTATAGCCTCCATGAAGGAGGATTTGTTGCAGCACTGCTGTATTAACCTGCATTCATTTTATTAATAAACTGACAAGTTTATGATATACTACACAGAGTAGTATCCTTTTCCAAGTGACATACAGCCCGTGTCCAGTTTTTCAGTGATAAGATACAAAGTTAATGAATCCACTTTAGTGAAACAGGACACCACTCAATTAGTTTCATTGCCCTAACCCCTCCATGAACCATCCCCATCGTTTGCTATCAGTCCTCTCCAGGATTTTTACAGGACACACTTTTATTAGATTTAGACACAGGGGCACAGACATCTTGAGGGAGAAGCAGAGAAAATGGATGAATTCCAGTTTAGTGACATCAGCTACTTAGCAATGAGAAAGGACACTTGATCCTTTCTTACAGTAGTGACCTGGGAAGCGGCCCAAACTTCATAAAGAAATGAAGACAAGGGGAATGGTCGTCATTTATTTTTCTATTCCCGAGGCAGGAGAGTCGGTGCACACGTGTACACAAAAGACTTTCGTAAGTGTCAAAGATATGCTAGAGCTTCTGCCAAAGAGCAACAATAAGGCTTTTTATGTAAAAACCACCCAACTTCTACTAAAAGAAATTTACATGCAATTAAGCCACTCGGTGTGTTAATGCCGAGGTGGTGTGACCCTCCATCACTTCTACCGTAAAACCTGCTCGTTAACATGTGACACCAGCAGTAAAATCAGGCCTCCATCTACAACAGTTCAAGATGGCCGGTGATAAATTACCCACCCTCTCTACTCTGTGGGCAGTAAAGACCCACCGGTGGTTTCCGACCAAAGAGAGAGAGGAAGTATTCTGGATTGGCTTGAGGATGCTAAGATTTCACATGAAGTGTACCGAAAAAACGCACTGTCCCAAGAACTTGAGAAGTGAGTGGTAAGTTTCATTTTTAACTTAAAAGAAAAATGGGAACTTCATTTTAACTTTTGTGATATCCATCTTAAAGTGCTTAGATCTTGATTTAACTCCTGTTTGGGGGAAACAACTGCATCTCATTTGGAAGTGTGGTCCTTTCAAACAATACACAAAAGAGCAACCATTGTGGATTGAGCCATTACAGGCTCTCAAATAAGGGGGACAAACAACACAAGAGTTTCACAGGGGTCAAAGGGGTCAAAGGGGCCTTGCTGTGATGGAAACAGCTTCTTTTTCCACAATAGGACCTGGAGGATATGAACTCATAAAGATGTAGGTGTGGGAAAGGAACGGCATTTCAGAGTGTACACACCGATGCACCACAGTCACTTTTTCCTCTTCTCTTTGCATCCGCACAAGTCCCAAAGCATCTCTCAGTGTCGTTGCCACTCCACGTCAGGTATGCACCAATGTTGACTGTCTGCTCAGGTCTTCAAATAAGAGCAAAGGCGGGTGAATGGAGCACAGAGAGAGAGGGAGAGGGAGAGGGAGAGGGAGAGGGAGGGAGGGCCGTATGTGTCTCACCTCATTGAGACTATAGAGGCAGCAGCATCTTGGCTGTGAGAATGTGACGGCTGTCTCAGTGTGAGCTGGAGAAACTTCCTGGAGATTTTCATCAGGGAGAGATGACAAGGCCGGTCGTTGTCTACCGTAGCTCTTTGTTTGAACATTTGATTTTAGTTTCTGACACTGGGTGGCAAAGAAGTACAAGATATTGATGCACTGCAATGAACTCAAATTTCCACCGTCTTACTTTTTACTTACTGCTTTATTAAGGCCACACTATGTCTAGCACTGACCGTAGGCATTGGACGTAAATTGCGAGGTGGAAAATTGTTCAACATGCTGCTGCGCTGTTCTCTGTTTAACTCTTCTGCTAACATGCCAATGGTGAATGGATGTTCTATCAGTTCAGCAGGTGTTTGTGAGCTTGACAAAGTAGTAGCAGGAAAGGCTGGAGGCTGTTTTTCTCAGCCATGAGGCTTTGTTGCTCTCTGATCAGCTTGTGAGTGACGCAATGGCCTTGTGACTGTTAAATCCTGCTCTTTTTAGACGGCTGCATCTTCTTATGAGCAGCTATTTGCATTAATTGTACATTAATTCGTCGGAGTGACCGGAAAATTTCCGAGGGGGTAAATCAAATCGAGTGA